TGTGAGGGAAAAAAAAAATCATTTCGGGACGGACGTTAGGCGTATGCGACGTGCGCGCAGTGAGCTCACCCACCTGGGAGTTTCTAAGAACACCAAAAGGTGTTGGTAAAAGCTTGGAAAGCTGCCGCGTTAATGGGTTCTTCTGCTCGTTTTGGGAGGGGAAGGACTAAAAAAGCGGCAGCACGCTCCTCCCGAAGTTACGTCCGCGCAAGCGAGGGTGTAGGAAAAGCGCTACGGATATTTCTCCGCCTTCCCCTTTCTCTCCCTTTCCTCCTTGAGCTGTTAAGCTCCGACTCCTTGTCGAAAGCCACCTGTTACTGTAAATAAAGACGTAAAGGACTAGCAGACGTGGTAGTAGTTTTGTGGATGTGAGTAGAAAGCTCCAAGAAGAATTTTCTAGCTGGCTCGCAGCTTCTCGGCAGCAGGCTGCCTCTTTTAAAATGACGTTGGCCCTAATTGGCGCTAATTTTATTGTAGGCGTGGCTCTCGCTGTGATCCTCAGCAGTGTTCGACATATTAGTGATAAGGTTTTCCTAGAGGCTGCTAAGGTAAGTGTGGAAGCAGAGTAGGCTGTGGCTTCGGACACGAAATCAAATCTTGCTTTCCCGTTTGATTTCTTTGGGGTTTATCCCTCCCCAATGGCAAAAAAAAAGAAAAGAAAACGGATTTCGATCGAACAAAATGGTGAAAACCTATCGGCTCCTCTTGCCGTTTTAAATTTTTCCCTCCTTGAAACCAAACACCCAAATAGGAAATCTGCCTGTGTGGAACTTGCCGCGCAGATTTGTCGCCTCCGCCTGCCCCGCTCTGGGTTGCCGGCGTGGTCGGGGGTGCCTGTGGCCCCCCAGGCTCCCGTCCTTTCCTGCCTTTTCCATTCTTCTCCGTTCCGGAGCAGGAAACACCAGTGAATCAACTGGTTGGACACCTGCAGGCGTGTTGTGCTCTTATAAATCCCATGATCAGGGATAGTTCAGCCTCCAGAAAAAAACCAGGATCTTATTTTGCGGAGTTTTCTGATGCGGGCACAGATCGAAGTAGTTGATCTTTGAGAGTTTTTGAGATTTTTTGGACTTATTCTGGTGCTGTGGAAGCGCTCGAGCACTAAGAACTTGTTTGCTCATGTTATCAATCGGATTTGGGATGCAGTAAAGAGAACTCGCTCGTTTTTCTAACTCAGGCTTTGGCAGAGCAGTTGACCGATGAAGAACTCGCGCAAGGAAGACTTTATCCTCCGCTGTCGAATATCAGGGAAGTTTCGATTTATATTGCTGTCAAGGTGAGTATGAAGCATAAAACCCAACCGTGCTGGAAGCATTTTATGTGTACATTAACCTGCTTGGGTATAAAATACCCAATTCTTTGTGCCTTTAATAGGAGACACTTTGAGGGAAAAAAAAAAGTTTGTTGCATCCTTCAGTTTGGAAGGATGGGCTGAAATGAAGCCGAAACGAAGTTTTCGGATCGTTCTGGAATTGTCCTTGGTGTTTGATCCGTTTTCGTATCGCAGGGATCATTAGGTGAATGTAACGAAAGGCGCAAACCGCACGGTGGTTTTTAACTTTGCAGGTGATGGAGTTTTTGTACGCGAACAACATGGCTTTCCACTACCCCGAACCTGCAGACAAGAACCGGTACATTCGATCCAAAGTTTGGACCTACGAATACGAATCCTTCATGCCTGACGTGTATGACTGGCCCGAATCTAAGGTGCACTGATGGATCAGAAGATCGAGCTCCTCAGGCCGTATCTTTTACTCTGCAGGGATCCCTTTTGAAGACCAATCGAAATCATCATCTTTGAGTCCTGTAATTTATTTTCGCTCGGTTTGGTGTTTCCCCCTTCGCCTCCCCCCCTTTTCTACCCACTTGATGGAGATTCTTCCTGCGGGGATGATGGCATCTGTCACAGGAATGAAAGAGTTTGCCGAAATTAATTTAAATAATAACGCTGCATTCCTAGCTTAGAGCTGGCACCGCACGGAAGAATTCCGTGCGTGATGTTTAAGCTACCTGTAGCCCTCTCATCACCGCTGATTTGCAGAATGATTTCTTTCTGCTTATAATAATGTCTTCTAATTGTCCGACTGCGTTATCTGTGGCATCACCGGAGAGCGTTTGTCAAGGAAAAAAAAAAAAAAAGGGCAGTTTAAGACAAATTTAAGAGCCTAATGGGCTTTCTGTTTCGTTTCAATCTGGTACATGGAATCCACAGTGATGTTTGTATTTCATGTTTTCATCGTTGTGTGGAATCGGCGGTGAGGAACGATGTGAACTAGTTCAAGTTATCCTTGGAAAGCCCGAAAATAACGTTAAGCACTTAATAGATTTTAAAAACAAAGCGACGCTGGGGCATAAGAAATCGTGTCGGGTAAAGGCAGGATCGGAATTAACATGCAGCAATCTTTTAGAGATGTTGCAGTGGACTCCAACGTGATTATACCAAAGGGTTTTTTGTTTGTTCGTTCATTTTCTCAAGGTTCTTGTTTCTTCGAAGCGAAATCGTTTCCTCCCTTGCATACCTTGCGATGTTTTTGGGACGTCGCCAACTCGAAAACGCTCTTGCCGCTTCGAACAAACCCCTCCCGCAGGCAGCTGATGAAGCTGAAACAGAAAAAGTTACAGGCAGCTATCGACACACACCATTTCCACGAGGTTGACCGAAACGTTCCTTGTGGCCTCAGTCCGGTATATCCAGTTCAGCTGGAATAAAGGACTCGATCGAATATTTAGAAGCTCTAAGCTGATCATCTTCCTCACTCCATTTATAGGTTTTAATTTGTCGGGTGGGGTTGGTTTGGGGTTTTTTTTGTGTGTGTGTGTGTAAAAAAGCAAAACCTGCAAGCTGATTTTTTCCTTGCCGTGAGGATTCGATCCAGATACCTCCGTGTACATTCCTTTTCCTTTGGTTCGTATCGGCTTTGAGCGCCCTCTGTTCCTTTGTTATTAGCAAGCGAGGCCACGCCGTGATAGTCACAATCTGTGGCTTCTCCAGATCTGTGTAACAAGAACAACGGTATGTAAGGAACAGAAATAAAGATAACCTGTTGCTCCGTCAGTTTGCTGCATCGAGGTAAAAAAAAGGACAAAAAAAAAGGTAAATAGATAGATATCAAAGGGCTATACTGGCAAACTTGAAGCCAGAATCCAAAGAAATGAAGTAAAGCTTGCTCAGAGCAAGCACCTCTTTTCTATCTTCATTTATATCAGAAAATGCAGTTTCCACAGAAAAAAAATCCCCAAAAAATGGAGAAAATAGTCTCTGTACCCCCTTAGACACGGTCTCTCGCTTACTCTGATTTTAAAACGATGTTTTTGTATTAAATACAACGAACAGGAAGCTCGGGGAAGGCTTGACCTGAGCGAGGAAAGAAGGTTGATGGTATAAACGCAGAAAATAGCGGAGGGGGGGAAAGGACCGCGCGTTCAAACTGTGGTAAAGCGCTGTCTGGCGCGGCTGGCGGCGCCAAATCGGGCGACGCACGTGGTTTGTAACTTGTGTATGTAAATGTATGTACAAAAAAACCCCCAACACACACACACACACGATGTTTTTACAAAGAATGTGGTTTTCGTCTATTTTTGCTATGCCCGTCATTGTTTTGTTTTTTTTTTAAATTGTATTTTAAATTTGTGATCTTACTGAAAAAAAATGTATTTATTTAGCGTACAACTTTCTTGTTAACATTCTGAAAATGCGGCTCTCGCTGAAGCCTGTCGGGGTGTGTCGGTGGAGTTCGGCGTTGGTGGATTCGAGTTTATTGGGAACGCACACTTCCTCGCTTCTGCCGACGGACTAATTAGGCAGACGAGTAACGAAAATATCCCACGCGCTGATCTCGTGTCCCGGCTGAGAACGATCGCAAAGGCAGGGCAATCGGTCCATAAATATAACTCTGTCTTACGAAATAAAGATGTGCATCCAGCTGTGCGTTCGGTCTGATTCTGTTTTTTTGTCGGGAAAGCTGTTGTGCTCCCCTGACCCAGGACTTGGGGAAAACCCAAACCCAGAGTTTGGGAAAAGCGCGTCACGGGGCTCTTGTTTTGGACAAGAGCTGTTTCAGTTCCCAAAGGGAAGGTCCCGCGCGGGAAATCCGTGTCGCGCCGAGGGCAGCCGCCTCTTTCGCAAGGAGCTTGCTGGCTTTAAGCCCGAGAGGGTTTGTTTGGAACTGGTTGGCAGCGGGATTTTTTCCCCAAGTCGAAATATTCCTGCATAATTTTTCAGGAAATCCCACTGGACGGGTGAGGAAAAACCAGTCTTGAACCGACTCGGAGGCTCCAGTTCCAACAGGAACGGGACTGCAGATGTGTCGGAGCTCTAGAGAAAGGCTTTGGCTCTCAAGCTTGTCCCAGTTACAGCAGCTAAGTGGTACCAGTTAGAGTTGATCTGTGCCTAGACATTGTTTCACCGGGTTCTGTGGGTCAGGTTGCAATATAGACACGGCGGAATTTCCCCTTTCATGCTTTCTGCGAGCAAGAGCTCGCAAAGTTCTAAGTGCTCACTCTTCCTTTCCTCTTCGGTTTGGTTTTTTTTTATTATAAAATCTATAGATTCATCACCAGTTTTGTGTGTTCTTCAGATCTAAAACGTTGAATTAATTACAACCGCGAATCTTGCTGCTTAGTAAGGAACCACAGTATCCTTTTTCATATTCTACTTAACCCGTTGATTTTTTTTTTTCTACTTGCTGGCTTATTCAGAAGCATTTACTAATCTGTGTATAGAGAAAATTCTCTTCCACAGTATGTAAAGGGAAAAAGCCGTCACCTGCGTGCGTTTTGTAATGCTACGCAGTGTAAGTTAAGCTCATATTCTTCAAAAAATATATCACTTAAAGGATGACGAGCGTTGTAGCTCTTCACACAGCCCTGGTGATTTTTGCCCTCTGAAGGGTACAGAAGTGTGTCTTTCACATCTCTTCTGTGACGATACTGTTCTGGATGTACAGAACGCTCCGAGAGGATCAGGAACTCCCACTGAGATCAGTAGTTCAGTCTTTCCCAGGGCAGATCCAAAACTTGCTTCCTTAAAATCAACAGGAGCAGGACTGAGCCTCTTGGCAGCGATGTATAGAAATGTCTAGGGGAGGAAAAGAAGGAAAAAAAGGGAGCACAGCCTTTTTTTTTATATAAATTCTGTGTATTCGTTTCTAAAGATGTTACAAAGGTTTGTATATTCCAACAACTGACACGTAGAGGAAGACTATTAAAATGCTGATCGATTTTAAACCCCAAATGTGACCTGTGGCCTAAGTTCGGTCTGTGACCAGTGATGTTTCATGAAGTCGTGTTTGTTTTCCAAGCTGAAAACAAAGCAAGGATGGTGCCTTACAGGTTTCCTGGTAGGTGCGTGTCTCCTGTGCTTCCAGCACGCTGTCTTGTGGGAAGGGGTCAAGTAACATTTTGTCACGCTCCTCTGGTAGTAACTGCAAAGATAAATTATATACCTTTTAGTTTTTCATTTACAGTTTGGTGACTACTCCAGTAGGAGGGTGAGGATCGCTATCGTAGAGCTACAACTGTGCATTTTATTTTAGTTCCGCTGACTCTGGGCCTGAGTGAAGCCGAGTTGTCTTTCATTTGCTTTCGTCTTTCGACTTCCAAAGGGCAGATTTCAGCATCTCTGTCGTTCAGCTGAAGGTATCTACGAGACTCTCAGGTCGGGCTGTAGGAACGGAACAGTTTGGACTCCCGCCCTGTCTCACCTGTGTTAAAGAAAACCACTGTTGTTCTTGCACGGCACACAGGAACGCATCCTGGCGGGGTTTGAAAGTCTCCAGAGCAGGAGACTCCTCTCTGGGCAGCCTGGGCCAGGGCTCCGTCACCCTCACAGGGAAGAAGTTTCTCTTCATGTTGAGGTGGAACTTCCTATGTTCTAACTTAAACCCATTATTCCTTGTTCTATTGCTGGGCACCACTGAGAAGAGATTGTCTCCTTCTCCTTGACACCCACCCCTCAGATATTTATATAAGTTAATAAGGTCCCCTCTCAGCCTTTTCAAGCCTAAACAGCCCCAGATCTCTCATTCTCTCTTCACAGGAGAGATGTTCAGTCCCTTGATCCCCCTCATAGCTCTCCGTCGGACTCTCTCCAGTAGGTCCCTGTCTCTCTTGAACTGGGGAGCCCCAAACTGGACACAGTATTCCAGGTGTGGTCTCACCAAGGCAGAGCAGAGGGGGAGAAGAACCTCCCCAGCCCTGCTGGACACACTTTTCTTAATGCTCCCCAGGATCCCACTGGCCCTCTTGGCCACAAGGGCACGTTGCTGTCCCAGGGACAACTTACTCCCCACTGGGACTCCAAGATCTTTCTCCACGGGGCTGCTTTCCAGCAGGACGTCCCCTTAATCTGTACCAGTAGCTGTTATTCCTCCCCAGATGCAGGACTCTACACTCGCCCTTATTGAACTTCATGCCTGGACACGTCGCTGTGTGGCTGCCCTAGGTGATCCTGCTTTGGCAAGCGGGTTGGACTAGATGATCTTTCGAGGTCCCTTCCAACCCCTGGGATTCTAGGACTCTTTTTAAGATGGCATGTGCTGCTCTCTCGTTTCCTAACAGCCGTGTGTAATAGGCAGGGGCTGGTGTTACATTGAATACTGGAGCAAGGAGAAAATCTAGAGCAGAGCTCTAATTGAGCAACGGAATTCAGTCGCAGCTGGGGAAGGGGCATCTAGTTCCGTATGGCTCTACCTTGACCTACCTACCTATTCCTAAAA